GACAGTCAGTGCTGTGAGAGTCTTCCACGTGTATACTATAAGACACACTGGTCTCCTCAACTGTATTTCAAAATGTTTTGGTGTTTAAGTGGCACATCAGTGTTTTATTGTAGTTTTGACACTGAACGTAGTTGATTATTTTATTGAATGAAATGGGAGTCTTTATTCATGTTTGCATATTTACTGTAGTATAACCAGTTTTGTTGAAAATATTCAGTGAGTGAGTGAGTGAGTTGGGTTTAACGCCACTTTTAACAGTATTCCAGTTATATCACGGCGTGTCAGCTTAATGTGGGAGGAAAGCCCGAAGTGATGCAGGTCTCAGACGTTTACCACTTCCGTGAAACCCACGAGCACGGGTATGGTGCTGACAAACCTAGAAACATAATCGGGGCGAACTGGGATTCGAACCCACAATCATAGGTTTCTGGCGTGCCCAATGGACGCAACTCTGCACAGCGAATCACGGCACCTTAGACGACTGGGCCACCTGTGCCCCCTGAAAATATTCAGCAATGTACAATGGAGTAATAGTTCTGTGATCATACTGAACCAACTAAGGCTGGATAATTATATTAATCAATGTTATAGAAATGAATAAAGTATTTATTTCTTGTTTTGTTTCAACACAATGATGAATATTTCAACGTACAACTTGAACATGAACAACAACAAATAGTTATTTAGCTCTCCAGATCTTTTTTAAGAACAACATTCTTCAATTCTCCAACACTGAGCAGTAACCTCTTGATCATAACTGTCACTAATGAAACTATTTATTAATTGTTATGCATTTTTTAAAATTCCTATTGATATAATACAATCGTAAGGCAAACAATTGCAATACATTGATCATTCCATTGTTCCTTACACTCCTTAAAATTTGCTAAAACAATCCATAAACTTAATTTTCAATTGTCCTGAACATTTTTTTGTATGCTGATTTGACTAAAAATAATCATAATAAGAGTACTTAGTAGATCTATTAGTATTATTGCTTTTACTATTATTGAATTGAATATTTCTGAAGCTCCAATCCCAATGAGATTCAAGACAAAGAATTACCCAAAGACCATGAGATATTAATTATTAGATTTTCCCCTCACAACTAAACACTCCACCTCACTGTCCATAAATACCTACAAACGAACACACATGCTACATGGGTTCCCTGCAGTCTCTACTTGATGAAATATATTATACTAAATAGCCCTACTAAAGGCCCCACATCACATCATTTTACTGTCCATAAATACCTACAAACGAACACACATGCTACCATGGCTACATGGGTTCCCTACAGTCTCTACTTGATGAAATATATTATACTAAATAGCCCTACTAAAGGCTCCACATCACATCATTTTACTGTCATTAAATACCTACAAACGAACACACATGCTACATGGGTTCCCTACAGTCTCTACTTGATGAAATATATTATACTAAATAGCCCTACTAAACACTCATGCTCTGGAGGAAGCACATCTGCTGACAGCTAATGTACGCAAATACACTTGAAATTCTTTTCAATATACAAAACAAATTAAAAGGTAAAATGTCTCCCATCTGTCTCCATAAAACATTTGATGAAAATCTAATAATGAATTTATTGTTGCCTACTCAGCAAGTCATATTTCAGTTCTATACATGATTTCAAACAGAAAACATTTTTTAAGGTTTAAGGCTTTGTCATGATTATACTATATATTATAAGTCCGTAAACAAAGGGCATGAGGCAAAATAGAAATTAGAAACAAAATGACAAATAATCCTTGCAAGTCTGACTAAAGTCATTTAAAAAAGTTGTTTGTCTGGCAGACTTATGATGTTAATGATACCCCTAATTATCATATGAGGACAAATTATTATGCTACATCGTTTTTACCAGACACTATTAAGCGTTGGAACCATTTGCCTGATGACGTTAGTAACGCAGAAAATGTTGGTGAATTTAAGAGATTTTTAAAACAGAATAAAAATACCAATTTGTATATTGATCTAAATTTTGGAAGTACATTTTGTTAGATTGTACATTCTCGCCTCAGACTTGGTTGTAGCGATCTAAATGCCCATCGATATGATCTTGTTCTTGTGGATACATACATGTATGAAAATGGATCACACTCTTCTTTTCCTGTCCCTTTTATAATGATGTAAGAAATGACTGATTCTTCTATTCTGAGTGAGTGAGTGAGTAGGGTTTTACGCCGCTTTTAACAGTATTCCAGTTATATCACGGCGTGTCAGCTTAATGTTGGAGGAAAGCCCGAAGTGATGCAGATCTCAGACGTTTACCACTTCGGTGAAACCCACGAGCACGGGTATGGTGCTGACAAACCTAGAAAAATAATCGGGGCTATTCTGAGGGAGTTGATCTCAACACTTTATTGAAAGGTAATGCTAATTTTACAAAAACTACTAATCTAGAGATCTAGATATCAGTACATTCCTACCTACTTCAGTCCAAAAGGTTTAAGCTAATGTGAGACTATAAATCCTGCTTATATAATAATTTTTCTACTCATTACACCAAACAAGTTGTCCATGACACTTGCTTTTGTTAACTTATTTAGTTTATCATCATCATTATACATGTAATATTTTGTATAATGCCTTCATGAATATAACTTGTACTGGAGAGGTATTAACATAAGCCTTCTTGGCTAATTTACCGATCCAGATTCATTGAATAAAAAATATGATTAAATCAATTACATAATTTTCTCATATGGAACAAATTACGTCGTCTACACCTTCACTTGAAATACCAGTTTGTTCACCAGTCCTTAAAGCATGAACAAGTCAAGTGGTCTACAATCTAGGATCAAGTTGTCAAGTCATCACATCCATTACCGTATATGTCTGCAGATAAGTCCAATTTTGAGGACCAGAAAAAAGATTCTACAGAAAGGGGTTGGCTTATCCACGGGATACACTTTCATGATAGTATTTTTCAGATCGTGATCTGTCAGAAACATCGCCTGAATGACGGTCCGATAGATTACAACTTCCCGAAAGTTTGGAAGTTGCCACGACTACAGCCATTATTGTTATAATATAAATGATCAATAAAGTTATTATTTATACACCAATGTTGTCATTATCAAAAACATTTTATGCCTGTTACTATTTCCGATCATAAGTTTTCAATCGAATGTTCAAAGTTTATCGTTCTTCATAAACTCCACGATCTTTACATATAACAATATAATCCACAGATGAAATCGCCAATAGCTATTACGTACGTTGCGTACATTTTGCAAAGTTCAGAAATTTACAGTGAACAAGTATCTACCTTTATTGAAAGAGGCAAATAAACAACTGAAACGGTGAGTTATTCCGTTCACCATTTGCAAAAACCAGTGATCAGCTGTTTCCTGTGACGTCTTAAACGGTGAACACTGTGATTGCTTCCTGTTGTTTAAAAAGCAACACGGTACACAAGGAAAGACACATTTATCTGATGAAATATCTATGCTGAGAGGTACCATATTGTATCATGACTTTGCTGTTTTTTTTCAGGCCTATTACTTAGAAGACTATGTGCCAAACCTTTTGAGTCGACTGGCCAAATTTATATTTCAGCTTTATTTTCAGTTGATCTTACTAGGCCAGAAGACATTTGACTAGACAGCGGCTTTGGGAAAATGGATTATGTTGCAGACTGCTATTGTGTTACCATGGTTACTTGACCCCTCATGCAGGAAGCCGTTTTGAACCTAGTTAGTTTGACCATGAGTGAATGAGTATGGTTTTGCGCCGCTTTTAGCAATATTACAACAGGGGACATTGGAAATGGGCTTTATACATTGTGCCCATGTGGAGAATCAAACCCAGGTCTTCAGCGTGACGAGCAAACGCTTTAATCACTGGGCTGCCCCACCACCAATGACAAGACAAGGATCCGATCAGTGCCTGTTGTCTAATGAAGTGTTCAAGACTCACAATCAGTACACATGTGTACAATAGGGAAATATTTGTAAGATATGAAATGTTCTAGAAATAATAATTAAGTAAAAAGTAAAAGCTAGTTCACAGTTATCCGCTACTGAATCATATTATATATGTGATAGCAATAGGGGGTCATATTTGGATTGTAAGATGTTCTCAAATTACCCGGGGGCACGGGTGGCCCAGTCGTCTAAGGCGCCGCGATTCGATGTGCAGAGTTGCGTCCCTTGGGCACGCCAGAAACCTTTGATTGTGTGTTCCTATCCCGGTTCACCCCGATTATGTTTCTAGGTTTGCCAGCACCATACCCGTGCTCGTGGGTTTCACCGAAGTGGTAAACGTCTGAGACATGCATCACTCCGGGCTTTCCTCCCACATTAAACTGCCACGCCGCGATGTAACTGGAATACTGTTAAAAGCGGCGTTAAACCCAACTCACTCACACCCTCAAATTACCCTTCTGTATGACGGACATGTGATTGTGACATGGCTTCTTCCATTTACAAAATTCTCAGAGAAATGAGCAGAATGTCTGATATGTGAAAATATCATTACCCTTACACAACAAAGCACATATTGATGCCAATATAACTATCAAATAACCACATGCCCGAATAATACTTTTGTTTTATGCTGCAAGTGTAAATACAACTTTGGCAATGTGCCAAGTCTAGACCTCTGTAACCGTCATAGTCAAAGTCAATGAAACAAGTCCTATCGGGGCGCCGTAACCTTCCGATTATTCCCAAACATTGACAAACCTGTGTTCCTCATCAACCCGCATAACTATTAAAATGATCACACCATTCAGTAAGAATAAACAAACAAATCTGATAAGAACAGTACGAGCCGCAGCGATTTGCTCGAGTCGAGCCTCAGTCCACTGAAATAACATTAGGTCACATAATGTGTACCCAGCAAACAGACGAACAATAAGATAGTGTATCTAGTTGCCTGTCAGTCTACGCAACAACACATACTACTTGAAACACAATTCAAATGCGATATGTGGGCACTAGATAATAAAACATGTAAACACAATTCACCTGTCCTCTCAATGCCGCCATCTTCGATTCGTTCTTGAAGGGAGGTCACTCTAACCTTTGGCGTGTGGTCTGGTGGACTGTACGGGTGAATTAATAAGACAACAACCTGGCACCGTTCCCATTTACTGGAATTTATACGGAAAGATTATCACCGCTCCTTTGTTTTGCGACATAATCGAATTGTTTCTAATGGAGGTGTGTTCAACACTGTTTACAAACACCGCACGTGTCAAACGTTATCTGCATCCGGGACAAGTTTTCAAGCAGAAGCCTGCCGTCATGTATCCGTACCGTGTTTGACGTAATAAGAGCCACGCTCTAATAAACGCCCACGGCGATATTTGCTAATATATTGGCTAGTGAACAATCCCAATTAGCACCCTTCCGATTGATCAACGTACACAAGACTTATGTATTCGTGTATAATACGCAATCGTGTGTTATGTGCACCCTTAATTACGGGCAATTAAATTCTGGAAAAATATATCTGTCGTGTATAATACGCACAGAGTTTCTTTTGTATCATTTCAGGCTGTCAGCACAAACCACACAATTTACGATCTTTCAACTCTTTCACCAAAATTATATTCTAATAAGAGCCCCCTATTTCTAATTTTGAGAGTGCCCTGGGCGCTTATTACGTCGTATACGGTATTAGTATTATTCTGAATTCATTATATACCAAAACATTACCAAAACAACAACAAAAAAGAAGAAAAAAAGAAAGAATTGGTTGTGTCGACACATCTAACGTGATTCCCAAAAGAATTCATGTCATTATCGTGATATTTATATTCAAGATTCCCAAATGTGGCTATGGCTTCGCATCAGTATCATATTGCCTATAGTCAGTTGGAGTTAACTACAGTAAGTGGAAATTGTTATACACGCCACGTGTGAAATTAGGACATTCTCTCCGTATTATTAAAAAAACGTCATTGCTTTATTGATATAGATCTAGTTCGCAGACGGATACAGTGTTATTTGAGGATTTAGATTGAAACTTGCCGAGGCTGCCATTTTCGAGACTGCCAATTAATCCCCTTTTGTGTACGTAAACACTTCCTATATCATCCGTAAAGATCAGGGATATAATTGCTTTTCAGCAACCCTATGCTTGCCGTAAAAGGCGACTATGCTTGTCGTAAGAGGCGACTAACGGGATCGGGTGGTCAGGCTCGCTGACTTGGTTGATGCATGTCATCGATCCAAATTGCGTGGATCGATGCTCATGATGTCAATCACTGGACAGTCTGGTCCAGACTCGAGTATTTACACACTGCCGTCATATAGCTGGAATATTGCTGAGTGCGGCGTTAAACAACAAACAAACAAACGACTTCCTATGTATGTTTATGTTTACGATATTTGTTCAGCAATTTAAATTCAAATTGCGCTCTTTTAATATAGGAACGTGTTCTATAAGGTTTCGTGTGTGATCGTTTTTCCGCTTTTGTGAATTCTGATATGTGTTTTTTGTGTACACTAGGATTTAAATTTTAGAAACAGGTTATGTTAAATTATTCACAGTCGCCTCAGGCTTGGCTGCAGCCATCTTAACGCAGATCCGTATAATAAGCATATTTTGGATACTAAAATTTGTTACTGTGAATATCATACCGAAGATGCTTTACATTTCTTTTTTGTGTGTAAAGATTACTTTGTTCTTTGAAATGAAATTTGTTTACCAACATGGTTACTCCGTACAAACAGTGCTATATGGGAAATGATTTTTTGTGTAAGTAAGATCAAATCCAAATATAAGATTCTCTTCAAAATTTCATATTTAAAACAAGCAGATTCTCAATTAAGCAAATGAATTGATTAATATGAACTGCAAATATATTTATTTTATATTTACATCTAGCTTGACATGTATAATTCATTTGTTACATTCAACCTTCACTGATGCTCAATGTATCGTGCATTATGTGTAATTGAGGGTATTAAAATAAGCGATTAGCTTGTTTTCCAATCCATTATCATATTTTGGTGAAGTTAAATATGTTTTAATCATTTGTGTTACATTGTATTCGGGGTGCCCCCTCTTTTTACTACGGCTGTATATATCACGGGATCGGGTGGTCAGGTTGCTGCAGACCCGGGAAGATCCGGGGTAGAATAGGTCTTCAGCAACCAATCCTTGCCGTAAAAGGCGACTATGCTTGTCGTAAAAGGCGACTAACGGGATCGGGTGGTCAGGCTCGCTGACTTGGTTGATGCATGTCATCGATCCCAATTGCTTAGATCGATGCTCATGATGTCAATCACTGGATTGTCTGGTCCAGACTCGATTATTTTTACAGACCGCGGTCATATAGCTGTAATATTGCTGAGTGCGGCGTTAAACAGCAAACAAACAAACAAATCAGGTTGCTGCATGTCATCGATCTCAATTGCGTGGATCGATGCTCATGATATCAATCACTGAATGGTCGGATCCAGTCTCGATTATTTACAGACCGCCGTCGTACAGCTGAAATATTGCTGCGTGTGGCGTTAAACAACAAACAAACAAAGCAACTATACGGCTGTATACACATACGGTAGTGGTACTAATTGTGATCTACATACTAATGTATGGATTTATATATCAATAATTTCCCCGACGGTTCGCATGTTCAGAAAAAACGATAAACCTTTTGTTGTGCTGTCTAATAAAACTTATGGTACATGTATATACATTAACTCCATATCATCAACACAACAGATGGCTGTTGATATGGCTATTAAGTATTCAGATATACATGGCGGAACGAACTGTTCCTCCATAACGATATGGACGTTGAACAGTTAACATTTGTCACAGATTTTAGTGATTCTAGATATATACATGTCATGGCTGCACGATAATTACTACTAATAAGCCTTATGAATGAAATATTCATTAAGACGGTAATAAGTAGGTAACAGTGGTTTAAGGAATTTTGCTTTTAATTGCTTGGTTTAATCTGCTGATCCACAATTTCTAAAGACGGAATAGGATGAACAGTTTTAATAAGTGTCCTTTTTCATTCCCGATTAGTTTGTTGACTACTTTATTATAATAAAATACACGTCACACAAACACAAACAAATCAACAATGTAGGGCAGGAGATAATTCTGTGACTTTGGATTATAAAACTTTTTTTCTTTTTCTTTTCACCCGACCCACAGTACTTATCTGAGACTCAAATCCACCGTGAAGACCGGGGTTATAATTGGCCTTGCGTGTCATAAGAGGCGACTATGTTTGTCATAAGAGGCGACTATGCTTGTCATAAGAGGCGACTATGCTTGTCATAAGAGGCGACTATGCTTGTCATAAGAGGCGACTATGTTTGTCATAAGAGGCGACTATGCTTGTCATAAGAGGCGACTATGCTTGTCATAAGAGGCGACTATGCTTGTCATAAGAGGCGACTATGCTTGTCATAAGAGGCGACTATTTGTCATAAGAGACGACTATGTTTGTCATAAGAGGCGACTAACGGGATCGGGTGGTAAGGCTCGCTGACTTGGTTTATTGTATGTCACACTGTACAACAATATTCTGTTGAAATAACGGTAAACGAACTGGCAGCAGAGGTGCCAAACTGTTACCGTATTTGTAGAGATAGAAAAAAACACCCTGTAAAATCTTTCGATTTCAGGCAAACAGTAAATGTCTCGTAATCCTACTGACAGTACTTTTACCCTCTCAATGATGGTCATATGCATCGTGTCAAATTGCACTGTCTGGTCCAGACTCGATTATTTACAGACAGCCGTCATATAGCTGGAAATATTGCCGAGTGCGGCATTAAACAACAAAGAAACAAGACAATGTTTTAGACTGGAAGTGTGCGTCTTATATTGTGGAACATACTCTCCCTTGAATTCTGAAAAGGGGCAACAATAAACTGGCTAAAATTTGAGTTAAAGTTATTATTAAATACATGTATTAAAACAAATATATACTCACCGCCAAAAGAAACGCGAACCACAGAAACATGTAGAGACGTATGTACGTTAAGAAGAGATGTTTCCAATGTGTACCACTTAATTACAAAACTAACTCTCAGTCAAGTGTTACCGCAGTGTCTTTATTCTTATAACGATATGCTACAGGTGATTTTAACCTTTACATCCTGTACAAGACAAATGGTGCATCTCGAGTCATGGATCTATGACGTCACATATGATGCGTTCACACAGCATGCCAGTTCGTTTGTGCATCGGACTGGTCTAATATCTCTTAAATATGAGTCATTCTTCATATTTTAACCAACATGTATAGTATTCGCCTTTCTTTTGGTGGTGAGTATATGTATTAAAATGTTTCTGCAATGCATTGCCTCGCTTTTGACATTGCCACCGACGTCCGATTAATCAATTCCTTTTAACCTTGTGGAAACACACTGCTGTAGCCGTATTTGACCATAATGGAATAGAAATTATGTGATAAATGCTAAAAGAAGTGATATATATGCCATACGTCGTCCTCTCATCACACTGGCCTACTAAATGTACAAATAATGAGAGATTTTCCTCCACATTTCGTGTTGTTAACTTGTTAATTAATGTGAATATATTAGTCCAGTGCTTATTTTATTGTGGTATAGACAATCCTATTTCTTGGAGAAGAACTTTTTATATACACAAAGAAAAAAGTTAAGCACACCCCTATTTCTGAACCATGACAAATGGCAAAAATCATGGCATGGGATGGCTGACCACAGGAGCTGGGCGATACCAATGTCATCGGAGAGAACAAACATTTGACAACAAATAAAGAAGATATTGGTAAGTCGTGATTGAAATTTACCATAAAAAACATCATGGTAACACAGGCACTAGACCACAGAGACGGTCGATAGACGCCAACAAGACGCAAAGAAGAGTTTGAGAATATATGCTTTTTTAGGGCCTTTAAAATATATAACAGATGATTAAATGCGAATATGTACATGTCGTGTCGTATAAATGCTATCATCAGCCATGGTGTATATAATCATTTTGTGTGTGGAAACACACGACGTGTATACATGTGCACAGATTCATCATTGCATAGAGATGTCTGATATTTTATTTTTTAAAAAGCACTAATTGTTAAACGGGACAAGGCATGTCAGGAGTTCTGTTTGTTATATAAATAAGTGGAATATACCGTTCCTTGTTCAAGCGTGTGTGTGTCGAATGTCTTAAATACAAACATATACTTACATCATCATCAGCATTGCACATGATGCAAGAATAAATCACAACGACGCTGAATCCTTGCA